AAAACAGACCAGTGAACCTGGGTAAGATTAATATTCTGTTTCACATTCATTTCATCCTTAATGTGAAAGAGCAGCTGAACAATATCTTGCAAACCTCTTAGGTTCAATTTTGCTGCCACACTTACCCACACAAGGTACAAAATGCTCTTGAAGAAACAGAACAGCCTTTCTGAGGTTCTTCCCTTCCCAGTATTTTGTTTACTAATCTAACAAGTAAAGCCCAGGAGACCAACTTTCCTCCTGCCCACAAGCACTGTCTGTTGGCAATATCTTTGAGCACAGCAGGGGTTTAATAATCTTTTTTTTTCAAAATGACTTACAAGTGGATTTCACAAGAAATGAAAATGTTGGTGATATATTTGGATTGCCCTGCTGGCTGAGATCATGCTGAAATAAAAGCAGAATCACAAGGGTCAATATTTCTGATGCACAGAACTACTGACTTCCTGCCCAGAGCAGATGCTTGAGCTGCTGCTGCTGAGTTAGTCCTGCTCCTGCTGAGCAGAGCATTCCTCTGACCCCGAGGAATGGAGATGAGAGCTGCATTTGGGTTTACCACAACCCTTCTGTGATGTGCCCGTACCAGAGGTATCTCAGAGGGCTCATGGAAGTCTGTTGGAGCATATTTGAGATACTGAAATAACTCCCTTTTTTTCCATATACCAGGCACTAGAAAAGGCTGAGAGAGTTGTGGGGGGGCAGCCTGGAAAGAAGAAGGATCTGGAGAGATCATGAAAAACAAAGCTGTGAGCAGAGTGAGACTTCAAATGCTCTCAAAGTATTTGAATCAGGTGGGTTTTTTCTTTCTAAGTCAGTGAAGGATAGTTAATGTGCATTTTAGGTATGTTTTAATATAACCCAGACTCTGAAAATAATCCTGATTTTTTGTTTTTGAAGTGACCAGAGCCTGTCTGCACCTGGAACTCAGACCTGTTACATTCCCAAAAACCTTCTCTATTGCTTTATCTTCATGGACAAGAAAACTGCTAATTTGCACACAAAGAATTTTTGAGCATTGCATTCTGAGTTTTGCTATCAAAGAGACCACTTAATTTCCTGTGCAAGAATTCAATTTAGGAACACAAAAGCTGATTGAAATTCATTTTACAGATATTTTATACGTGTTTGTGTGCATTTAGATTGTGGCAGATTTATTGCTATGGACTTTCAGATACAGAAGGAAGAAAGAAAAAAATATATAAAAACAAAATATTAGAAGTGTTTCAGTGAGGAATCAAACTAGGTCTCCTTTATTTATGTGAAAACATAAGATTAGGGCAGTTCTGGTATAAATAAAGATATCAGATTTATTTTTGCAAGCAGCCATGGCTCCTCTCTCATGAGTGGCAGACACACAAATGATGTCAGTGTGTATGACTAACAACTAAAAATACAGCAGGTATTTTTGTACAGGCTACGTAATATCCTATGAATACAAGACCATTTTGTTTAGTTTACATTTCTTTGAACCTTGCCCATTCACAGATTTCTCTGAGCAGTTTCCTTGTATCACACACTGTGAACTATTGTCAGTGATGCACTTCCACCAGTTTTAGAAAGAAAAAAAAACAAAACAACCCTGCTTCATCTCCATCTGAGGAAAACATCTGATTTTTCATCAAGAGGTTAGGAATTCATCCCTCTCTGTGACCCTTCTAATTCTGCCAAGTTAAAAAAGAAAATCCATAAAAACATTTCCCAAGTAATCCCTTTCTCTAATATGTTTTTCTGGGTTTTTATCCCTGCAATAAATGCCTTGCTACATCTTTGCTGTGATTAGTCTCATGGGATGTACTCGTGATGAGCATCTCCCCGGGGTCAGCCTGAACACGGGGCACAACCACTGAGCCAGTGCCAGGCCACGTTTGAGCTCCCCAGAGCAATCCAAGAGCCAGGACTTGGGCATCAGTGTCTTACACAGAACAGTGCAGTCACCAAGCTGGCAGAGGAGAGGGGCCAAGACTAAGCTTTTCCATTTCTCAGTGAGGATAAGATGTTTCCAAAGTGAAGGAAAAATTGAATTCCATGGGGTTTAACATTCTCCCATTTCTTCCAAGTACTGCACGGAGTAAGTTGCTAAACCCCAAACAGGCTGAGCTATGGTCTTGCTAAGTAAGTCTGTAAAAGACAGAAAATACATCCAGTACCAAGAATTCCTGCTCAGAAAGAGGAAAAAAATGCAAGATCTCCTTATAGTCAGCAGTTCTGGCACTCCCACAACACTGAGGACTCTGAGTTCTACTGTCTGTGCTTTTGGAGGATGGAGAGGGAGCCCATCCTGTTCACATGGAGTAATTTTTTTAAAACATCACAGAATCCTGGAATAGTTTAGGTTGAAAGAGACCTTCAAGATCATCTTGTTCCAGCCTTCTCCCAGTGAAAGGGTATCCTTCCACTATCCCAGATTGCTCCAAGCTCTGTCCAACCTGGCTTTGGACACTTCTAGGAATGAGGCAGCCACAGCTTCTCTGGGCCACCTGTGCTAGGGCTTCACCCCCTCTCAGGGAAGAATTTCTTCCTCAAATCTAGTCTAATCCACCATCTTTCGGTTCAAAGCCGTTGCTCCTTGTCCTATCACCAGACATATTGTCTAGCAATAATTACATTTTGACTGAAACAGGGACAGGAATCCAGATTTAATTGGACCTGGATTTTTGGCACAAAAAGTTTGAGCTGTTTTTTGGATACTGTTACACAACAGAGACCTCTTTAAAGCACCACCGTCTTTTCCCTGCACTCTTTGTTCTCTCCATGACCTTGCCGTGTTCATTCTGACATATTTTTTGCTGCAGCTGAGGAGCCACTGACATGGTAACACGAAATAGGATTTGATCTTGTTCTGGAAGTTTTCTCTTTGATTAGCTCTGGGAGCCTGTCACACACTCTTCCAGCCCTGCCATGCAAACAGCCTTGAATTACATTTCACAAGGTTTCATCCTTGGGAGTAACACTGACAATCCCTATGTTCTTTCCCCAAACCCTCTCCCAAAGCAGGCTGACACCTACAGAAACCTCACCAGACTTTGCTGCAGCAAAGTTCTCTAAAATGCTTTAAAACAAATGGACCTGCAAAAACTCCACCAGATTTCAATTAAATGTGCAAATCAGATTCTTGAAGCTGCAAAAATAATCCCTGCAGGAATTATTTGATGTGGGATGGGGACATCCCCCTTTTAAGGGCAGTAATAATTAATGCATTACTTTCAATAAATTTACATTTTTCTCCACAAAGAAAAAACTCCAGCCATAATTCCATTTTTTATTTCAGTATTTAGAGTGCCCCCCAAAATCACTGGTCTCGCATTTAGGCTGCACCATCTTATGAAAACATGAAAAGTGGACTAATTCCTTCCTGCAATGTTTTCCAGTGACTGTTACTGTAACTTAGAACCAAGGGCTCATGAATTATTAAAAAAAAAATTAAACATTTCATTGCAATTTAAACTCTTTATTCTGGGATTATTTCTGCATATAATAGTCTCAAAACCTAAGGTAACCAACCCCCAGATAGGGAATGCCTCTAAAATATTCAGCATTCCAGGCAACCTGTTGCAGTGTTTCCTCTTTTTCCGGGAAACAAAATTTCTGTCTTGTCTTTTCCCAGAACTGCCCAGAGTTGTCTTATTCTGGTGAGAAGAACCTGTGTTGTTAATATTCTGTCCTCTACATAAACAGAATATTCCTGCATCCTTGAATCCAGCAGGATAATTGAACATCTCTGTGTCCAGCACCTGCCACAGAACAGCCACTCATTCCTTCTCCACTGATACCTGCCAGACCTCTATGAACGCAGAGTGGAGAAAGTTATTTAGTACCCCAAAAATTTCATCCTAGTTCTTGTGCACCATGAGATCATAATCACTGCTTCCTACCTGATCAGGGAACAACCTTGAGAACTGCAAAATTATCTTTTCAGCCCTACAGACTCAAAGTTTAACCTTCCCCCTTCGTCCTTGCATTTTAAATTAACTTTGCATGTTTTACCTTTAAGTACAGCACCGTTCAAATTTCTGTCTTACACCTTCTGAGGGCTGGAGTTTACAGAAATTATTAAATGCAGAAACACTTCAGAATCAGAACATCCAAAAATAAAAATGCAAAAATACCTTCTAATGGCTCCCTATTTTTTTTCCAGCTACTGTTTGTAGGCTCAAGGGAGGAGGTATTTGAAGTCTTCCTTTGTGAGATAAGTAGTTCCCTTTGCAAGAAAATTTGCAGCTGCTTAACACTTTTATTTAGGACACTGAATTTATTCCCTTTTGTTTGATTTCCATAACTGTTGCTTTGTATGGGTCCAACACAAAGTCTCTTCTATTCTGTTTTACCTGGATGTGCAAAACCACAGCCTCACACCTCACTCTGGGGAAGGCAAGTCCTGTACACCCTATCTCCCATTTTTTCAGCTGTACCTGGATGTATTGACTGCCTTCAAAGCAATAACAAAGCTTGGACTTGATTTAAACCTGGTCTTAGCAGGTAATTGCAGTAGTGAACAGAAATTTCACGTGCACCACCATGCTTCCTCCAAAATTATATTTATAGGAGGTTCTCCCTACCCACTTATCCCAAGTCCCATGAGGGGACATTTTCTACTTAACCAATTAAATGTTCCTGGAGGAAAGGGCCTGAAGCATAGCTAACCTTCCCCCCATTCCCTTCCTGAGTTGTTTAGATAACTGACAGGATTACAACCCCTTAAAGCCCTGGAGCAGTGCCTCTGGAATGGCTCCAGCAACAAATTCCGTGCCCTGAGTAAGAGAAAATGGTGCTATTACTGCACAGAGTTGTGAGCTGTGGCAGCACTTTGAAGTCAGTTACAGCGGCAGCTAAACATGCATTGGTTACAAAACAGAACCAGGAGCAAAATACCCTGCAAAGAAACAAATGCATAAAAGCACTTTCACCATACAGATTATTTCCACCCTTGTAAAAGAGAATTTTTACATAAAATTCCCACCTAGCAGGAGAAAAGGTTTATTCCAAATTAATTACGTGCTCACCTTTGACTCTATCTCCTTTGTGCAGGTGAATTTCCCCTTCCCCTTGAGGTTGATATGGCTTTACAACGATAAAAAGTCTCCCAGGGACAGCACTGTAGAGCTTCCTTTTGGGACCCTGATAATCCAAGGCAGACAGAGTATCTTTGTTGGCACTGGGACTGTAAACGGCACTGGAAATTGAAATGAAAAATCATTAACAGCTTATTCAAAAGGGGAAAGTTAATCATTTACCATCACATTAGCAAGATTAAATTAAGCAGTGAATAACAAAACTGTCTCTCAGTAAGACATCTAACCCTGCAGAAAAAACACCAAACAGGAGCTTTCAAAGGTTGAAATCTTTCAGTATGAAACATGATCAATATTCACCTGACCATAATGGCCTAGAACAGAAAACACACAACATTAAAGCTTTTAGGTTTTCTGCAAATTAAACTTGCATATTCCGAGGCCCTAATTAAATTCAAAATTTATATGCCCATCATAAATTCCCAGCATGTCAATTTGTCAGAGGGACTTGAAAATATCTGTATTTACAATTCTTGGGAATGGATACCTTTGTAACACAGAGTGAACAAGTGAGATCACTGAATAATTAACTAAATGGACTGAATAATCAAGTTACGTCGTCACTCCAAGGCCCAAGATTATATTTAGATCTGCACAAAGCCTGGTACTTGTGGTTAACATTTTCCAAATGATCATTTCTTCTGGATGGCAATCACCAGCTCACTCAGTGACTCCAGAATGTGCCCAGGAGAGCCACAGGTCACCACCAACTCACAGTCATGGTGTATAAAAAAGGAATTGTTGAAAGGTGGTGAACAATGAATAAGATCACTCTTAAACCTATGGGAAAATGAGTGAATTGTCAAAACAAGATGAAAAGAGAAAGAGGCAAATACTAAAGAGGGTGGGAAACCTATAGGATAGATCATAAACTTGCAATACACTAGCAGTCAACTTCAAAAACACCCCAAAGCATAAAAACTTGCAGTCTTAACCAAAGTCTAGAAAAGGAAAATATTAATGAGAAGGAGTAATATTAATAGAGCTTGATAGGGAAAAGGCTACCAAAGGAAGAAGTTTGATTTAGTGGTAGTTTGGCATTATAACAGTCTGCTTGCCTTCATGTAAGAAAGTATCTCAAACTGCTTTAAGCAAAATGAAATACAAGGGCTGGGGTCTGCTGAGTTTTCATCTTTTTTTTTTTTTTTTTTTTTTTAAACCAGTCTCCTAACAAAACGGGAGCCAGTAAGTCAATAGTACTGAAGTCTGATAAAAACCCACACTTATTGGACCTTTCCTATCAGGAACACTCCTGTTTTCCTGCAGTAACTTCTCCACCATTTGGAACTGCATGCACCTTTCACCTTGTTTTATTCTATTACTGTGAAGGGATGCTGCTAATGGTAAGCCCCACTCAGGAGTTTAGAAGTGAGCTCTGGTTGCATGTCTGTGATGGAGTTTGCACCAGAAACCTCAGCCAACTCTCACAGTTGTTTAAAGAAAGCCTGGAAAAGATGACATTCAGATTTCAGTTCTTTTGCTCCATTCCTTTTTCCTTATAAGTGGAGGAACAGTCATCACCATTAAAAAAAAAAAAAAAAAAAAAATCCAGATCTATAAACTATAGCTACACATCTGATTCCCACTTGTATCAAAATGTGTTTCTGCCTAGTCTGGTGGCAGCTATTCCCAGTGTTATCTCCCAGCATCTACTTTAACTGTGAGCACAGAAGATACATTCATTTTCTCCCTCACTGAAAGAGAAAAGGGAAATGGCACATTAAACCCACACAAGGAATGCAGAACTTCTCAGGCAACAGGCTCACTAATGGAAATCAGGGCTGCAACGTGGGGTGCAGGACTTTTTAAAAAGAGATCTTTCCTCTCCCTTGCTTGTCCCCAGCGTGGGTTCCAAGCCCAGCAAGTGCCAGGAAGGAGCAGGAGAAGGATGCGGAGATTTCAAGAGAGGTGTAGACATGTTTCCCTCTCAGCCAGAAGAAGGTGGCCATCCTTGGCAGCTCAGCCCTCACTGAGGCTGTGTTGGCACCTCATTCACTGATTTCTGTGGGTAAGTTCCACACAAAGGCTGTCCTTTTCCTTTCATTCCCAACTCCCCCTTCCCAAACACTTTACTGTGAAGAGCAACAGCCTTGTGAGAATCAAGAACAGTTTGGCCTTGGACACTCCCAGGGATGGGGCAGCCACAGCTTCTCTGGGAAGTCTGTTCCAGTGACTCACCACCCTCTCAGGAAAGAATTTCTTCTTAATACCCAATCTAAATCTCTCCTCTTTCAGTTTAAGAAGACAGAACACCTGAGCCACATGGGCTGCAAAGGTCACATGAACCCCTTCGAGCATGGCTCTCCAGCACCTCTCCATAGCACAAATCCCGCAGACCTCATTAACCCTTTGTCACAGTCTGACTTTCTCCATCACTGTGCCCCTTCTGGCTGCTTCTGCTCCACAACGGAACCTCCTGCTGTGTCAAAAAGGGCTTTTCCATCTCAGGGGAGCAACAGCATCGTGGTGACTGCTATTATTTGCAAATAATAAGCAGAGACAGCAACAGTTCCCACATTTAGCTAACAGTAAGTAGGTGGTCATGCAGTTAAACAAAATCTGTGAGGAAAGTGTCATATAAGGTGCCATTCCTGACTGCAAAATGGGCCTATGGCAAGAAAAGGCATTATTTGCAGGAAAAATAATTCATAAAAATCCTTTTAGTTGTCTTTAAATTTAGAGAGCCTCCAGCTCTCTTCTCAGTACTTGCACATACTCTGGACTTCTCTGAAACAAGTCTTGGTTGCACAGAGGGAACTCTGCAGCTAGGAAGCAGTTTCAGCAGCTGTGATGCTGGTGCACTAAGAGAAAGACCAAAATTTGATATCCACAAACTCTCAGGCATTAAATTGGTTCTCATTGTCACCTGAGTTACTTTTCAGAAAGGGCAGAGGAAAGCAGTTGAACAAAGTCAAAGCAAGTAAATGTTTGCTTAATCAAAAAAAAAATTTCTAATTGTTACCCCCAGCTCAAATGATTGTTTATACTTCTAGAATTTGAAGTGTGTTATCCCAGGAACATTGATGAAAAGGCACTTTTTATCCCATTCAACTAAAATAATCACTGACTCTAAGGTAGAACCTCCCTCTCTGGTGGCATCAGCAGAATCCAGAGGACAGAAGAACACTCATTCTCTGAAAAGAACCTTACAGCCTCCTCACTTCAACTCCTCATCCAGTTGAAGCCTCATTACAGACAGATCTTGAGCTGTTACTGGGCCCTGTGAGGAAATGCCACCCAAATTATACCCAAATGAGCTTTTGCTGTTATTGTAACATACATATGCTTTGTTAGCAAGATGAGCTTGCTTTGCTGCATGAAACCACTGGCATATGGAATCTGTATCCCCCTCCTTCCCTTTAATTCACTCCTTCTTACATGCCAGACAACTCTGTCTCACAGTTCACCAGATCTCCCCTGTCCAGCAGTATTGTTTCCATCACAAACAGTGCCTGGCAGTTTGGCCAGGGAGAGCAGAAGAACATGCAAGGTAACAGCAGCAGTGTCAACTATATAACATTTTGTTTTACTGACTTGAAAACTCCACTGAATATCCCTTATACCTACAAACAGCAAAGAGAAACCAACAGCTGCATTTCTTGACAATGCCCAGTTCCTTTTCTGCTCTGAACAGCAGACATATATATATATATATATATACATTTATATATGTATGTATATCAGGAAACAGGACAGACAAAGCCTGATTTTCAAATGAGGAGTGAGTTACATGTGTTTAGCCAAAATGTGTGAGCTCTGGTTCTGTCCAGCAGTACTCAGCTCTGATGCTCCCTTTCTGCAGCACTTTAACTCCTCGTCCTGGTGCAGCTCCATCTCTTTCACATTTGACAGGAGTTCCAGAGTCCAGAGCAGTGCCTTCTCAAAGGTGCTGCCCCCATATGTGATCACAACTTAGCCCCAGCCCTCCGCTTTATTCCATGGCTTACAATACCTACATGACTCTAATTAGTCAGGATTTGCTCTCCAGTGGGACAGAGCTGCAGGATATTTGCCCAGAATGCCTGCTAGATCACATTACTCCCTCTATTTCACTCTTTGGTTCAGCACACACCTACAGAACAGAGAACCTAAACAGACTCTGCTCCCCCACCCATGGGCAGCTCCAACACAGGTTCCAGGCATGACCAGTAGTTCTGTGAGGGGTCCAGGTATCCCAGAAACAGTTTGCTTCACTGTTGTATACAATCCTTATTTCAACTCTGGGAAGATGTGCAGAGCCAGGGCCTTGAGCTGGAGGTTCAAACTCTGTGTCAAGTCACTGCTGAACTTGAAAGTCTGCCTGGCTGCTGGAGCTCTGTGAGGAAACAGCTGGCTTTGGGGCTTCCAATTAATATATTTACACTCGGGCACGGTCCACTGTGCTGAGAATTAATAATTATACATTCTAGAGAGTGCAAATACCATAAAGGAATGTGGCAAGCCAGCATGGTGCCTTTAGGGGTACCTCATGCTGTGAAACAGCAAAGCTCACCTGATGTGCCTGTGCTGCTGCCTCTTGGCATCCTCTCCCAGCCTGTTGAGGGACGGCGAGCGGCTCCGGGAAGACGGAGTGTAACTCCCCACAGTTTTTACAGTTCCATTGGGATTATTCTGCATCTGTTGGAGCAGGTGAGGGGAAAGGCTGCGGTGTGAAGAGGCAGAGGAGGAGGCTGACCACTCGGGGAGGTTGTTGATGTTCAGGTTGTTGTCACTGTTGGAGCGGAGCAGGATCCGGGGGGCTGCCAAGGTGCTGGGAGGCCTCCTCCTCCTGTTGGAGTAGGTGGGAGCCTCCCTAAAGGGCACTGTGCAAAGAGAGACATGGAGGGTGATCTCAGATGATTTCACATTCATGTGTGTTTACCACCACATGCAACATATGGCATTGTTTCTTCTGCAGAGACAGAAACTCCACCTTGCCAGCAGAGCTGATCAAATTATCTTTAGAACATCATTAAATCAAAAACAACAGAGCAACATTAACCTGTTTGCCGGCTTGAATACATGGTGAGGCAACACCAGTGTCCTGAGCCTGCTGAATGCTCTGAACTGTGCTCTAGGAAATGGGAAACACCTCATTATTGCCAAGTTTGAGGCTCAGAAAGTTCATTTTCCTGCTGTGTTGTCACGTTCAGTCAGAAAGGCACAGAACAGGGCTGCCCAGCAGAATTCCTGATGCATAGACTTGCAGTTTCCATCCCCCAGCTGGTACCCAAACTGGTCCAGGCCAGGTTCAAGTTCAGGCCTAACCTGAAATCTGTGAACAGTCACCTTATCCCCATCTTGCAGGTTAAAAATTGAGGACACGGTTTCCTGTCCTGGCAGAACTCTATTACACTGCTGCAATCCCCAGGCATTCCCCTCTTTCTAATCCTGGCATTCCTACCACATCCATTACTATGGTATATAGAGCATACTACCCCAGGGTAATACACTGGCTCCGTCACATGCCGCGTCCCAGAGGGAACACCAGGGTATCCAAAGGCTCCAAGAAACTCCTTAATGGAAGAGCCACAACACAAAACAAAGCAAGGGCAACACAAATCTAACTCAGAGCAGAGGGTCCAGCCCTCCACGTGAGCTCCTGGTACACACGAGCGTTCACACCATTTTCCAGATCTCCTTTCCCACTCTAGTGGGTCAGTTTGTCCCGAGTGCAACTTAGAAGGCAAATTCCCTAATAAAAAAAAGCATACAGTTGTCAGCAGATGTGATGGAATTTCCTGCCCTGTCATAAAGGAATTGACCCCAAAACCTCATGCTGGCCTTGATCCCCATTATTGCAACTGCCCTCATTAATTTCTCTTGGTGGAGCTCATGGGGTCATAGGACCTGAGCCAAAGTGCACAGATTTACATCCAAAAAGTCACAGTGGCATAACTAACAAAAGGCAGCCAGGCATTATCCTGAGGGCTTCACTGAGCTGTTGTAATTCTCAAAGAAACAAATCATATGTAAATTGGGAAAGAAGACCCACAAAATATCATCCTTCATGTCTAAAGTGCCAGTAAGTGCCATTTATAAAGAGCCAGAAATGTCTGCTCATTCAATACCCTTCAAAACCACACAAAAAACCAGAATAAGAATGTCTGTCGTCATCCTTCATGTCTAAAGTGCCAGTAAGTGCCACTTATAAAGAGGCAGAAATGTCTGCTCATTCAATAGCCTTCAAAACCACAAAAAAAACAGAATAAGAATGTCTGTCATACTGTGCAAGTAAATAAATTCACATAAATACGAAATAGATAGGAATCAATCTGTCCTGCCTTCAAATCGTCTTTAATTGAGAGAACAAAGCAAAAATTTAAGGTTTCAGTGCAAAACTGAGAGCATATTTATAGCATAAAATAGAGATGGAACTGCGAGTAAAAGAATGGTTTGTATCATTTTCACCAGAGTCAGTTTATGATTACAGTTTATCAACTACAACTCTGAATATTTTACAATAACATCCTTTGTATTTCCAGTGAGCTGAAACTTCCTCTAGTAAACAACTTGACAACATCTGAACAACCAAACACGGGAACAGAGTGCACAGAAAGGGCTTCAATTCATTCCCATGCTTCCTTTGAAATAAGGGAAATAGCCTTTAAAAGCTTTAAATGGGAGACAGTACAGAAATCCAATGCTTACGCTACAAACTAGAAGAAACTCTGGATAATTTTCGTGACATTTCAAGTTTTTATCCCATTCCATATTTCTTTAAGGTTTCAAAGAAGCCGAGGGTGTCATGAGAGCACCTTGGTGCTTCAGATGTCACAGTGAAAGCCCCAGTTAGTGCTAACTTACAGCAAACTCACAGCATTTATCTCCAAAACTGGCACATACAGACCCTTAGGTCGGTGTGTGGGGCAGAGATGCAACATTTCTACATTCCTTTATTTTTGACATTTGGAACACAGCTCCAGAAAGCACTTCATTGAAGATGGGGATCTCTCCCAGGTACAACAAAGCAGAATTCAGTCAAGGAGAAAACACACAAACTGAGTACAAGGCATGTTTGGCACACTCAGCTTTGCTACCAAAAGGTCTAATGCGGTTCCCCCGGTCACCAAAGTTTGCCTTGGATTCGGTAAAAATTGGCTCTGACCTTTAGATTTCAATTTCTCATTAAACTGAAAGCAGCCTGCCCAGTCCTTCCAGCCACAGGCTGAGAAAACAAAATCCTGCCAGCGTTTTGGGGATGGTTACTGGGACTCTGGAGAGGCTGGTGGAGTCTCTGCTGGTGGGATGGGGAGGGAGGACAAGGACAGGGTGCCAGGGCACGGTGACAGCACGGACAGAGAGCTGCAGGGCACATCTGTACTGACAGATTGGAGAAACCACCCTCCAGGCACCAGAGGAAAGGAAATCTTTTTCCCTTACACACCTCAGGAGCATTTTATAAGCCCATTTAAGAGTTTAGTTTTTGTTTTGCTATTAATGTTCTATTCTTGAGGAGAGAACTACGAGCAAAATTAGCCTTTACTACAGGAAATAAACAGGGAAGGGGACGACTAATTACACCAATTGATGCATGTCTAACACAAATCTTTTATAGAAAGAGTTAAAAATAAGCATTTCTGTGCCTGAAGTGATTAATATTCCACCCAACTGTTTCTTTTCCCCAGCAATCTGCAAACTGTAAGTGGGTGGATATTTTTTTAGCTGCTTCTTATCAGCATTATTTATATTATTTTCACAATTAAAAAACAGAACTACAACAAAAAATGATGAAATGCAAATGTCCATGCTCTAGTCCCTGTTGGACTCTGCTTTCCCCTAATATTTCACCACATTTCAGAACTGCAAGAATAACTGTGGCAAAACTTGTTTGGGAAAAACACTTGATATAAAATGACATGAAAATGCCTGAACCAATTCCATGCCCCAAAAGTTTAAATTTATCATCCCTAAAAGCATACTTGAAAGTACCACATAATCCTTCCTCCAGCTCTCTGAATTCTATTCCTGGCACTTCATACATCTGAAGGTGCAATTCAGCACCATTCACTGACAAAATTCACCTAGGAAAATCCTTCCGTGTCTCCAAATGCATTTCTCAGGGAACAAAAACATTTTTATAATTACTTGATTCTTCAGAGAACATCCTAAAAGGAATAAAGTCACATCCAGCTTTAATAACCACTTGCCTAAATGGACTGTCTAACATCAGATAATTTTGAAAAAGAAATCGCAGGAATTGATTAATTATAGAGTCACTAAGCCCATCATATTAAATGTACACAAGAAAACACCAGTCTGAAACATCAAAGTGTTCTGCTTTCATCGCTTACCTTCTTTCTTTGTGAAGGCATTTAACAAAGACTTCATTTTCCCTTTTTACTTTAGCAGCAATCCCCTCATTATATAACCTTTGCAGGCAAGAAAGAGGCAAAAAAAGATTTAAAAAAATAATAATATTAAAAAAGAAAACCAACAATCAAGCTACCCAATTTCTATGTGTTCAGGCTGGCTGCACCCTGACATAAGCAGCAGGTTTCTGGGCACTGTGGAACTGCGAGCATAGCTGGGCATGCAGTACCCAGCGTTCTGGTGACAAAGCCCACCCCACATTCTGTCTGTCAGCTGGGAGCCAACTGTGCACAGACTGGAGCTGCTCAAAAAAAAAAAAAAAAAAAAAAAAAAAAGCCAGAAAAGGGGGCCGCAAAAAAAAAAAAAAAAAAAAAAGGAAAAAAAAAAAAAAAAAAAAAAAAAGGCGCTCCTGCTATCTCTCGCAGCATTAGTCATGTGAACCTGCCGCCGCCACAGCCCCGCGGAGGAGCAGGCGCTGCTCCCGCTCCCCAGCCCGCCGGCTGCGGGAGCGCCGCGGCACCGGGAGCAGCAATTCCCGTTTCCAGGCGGGAGAGGGGCCGGAGCAGCTGGGGCTGGCCACGGGAAAGCCCGGCCAGGGCTGGGAGCTGCCGGGAGCCTGCCTTTCGCTCTCAACTTGCACAGCTGCCTCTCGGTGCTCAGAGCATCCCACTGTTAATTCGCTTGTTGCTATTTATGTGCTTGTTGCTGTTTACTCACTTTCTGCTATTTATTTTCTTTTCCTTATCTATTTCCTTTTCACTGTTTCTTTTTTCCCCATCGATTTCCCCTTCTGCTCTTCACTTTTTGCTATTTATTCCCTTTCCCCTATTTATTTATTTATTTATTTCTTCCAAAGGACCGAGCTGAGGAGAAGCACAAATCGTCCCAAGCTTCACACAATGATCACGTTAAGGATGGAGCCAGACCTGCCACTACACAGAATCTCTCACCTATATTCCTGTATTCCAGTTTGAAACAGAGGGGATAATAAAAGCACAGTTATTCTCCCCTCCCCTTCCATCACACTGGAATAAAAGAGAATTTCTCTTTGCACAGAGTAAGAATATAAAAAAAAAATTGACCAAGCTCATTTGGTAAATTCGATGCAAATGCCAGGAAATACAAAATATAACCAGAGAAGTTTGGAAAGTCCTAATTCTGAAAGAAAAAGAAACCCGGGGATAACTATGCTTGGCAGTGCAAACATGCTTCCAGAGGAAGAGCAGATAACTGAAACAGGCATATAGGAAGGAGGGGGAGGTGCTAAAAATCACAAAAATTTTAAGCAGATCTACTTAAATCCAAGATATAAAGATTCCAAAGTATAGGAAATGCATGGTCTAATAAAAAAGAATAACCTACATTAAAAAATTGCCTTCTAGTAATATAAACTATATAACAGGTAATAAATATTTATTCTATTTCAGGCTTCTTCACTGATCACTAATGCATCTATCTGGAATATCAAGGGATTTCTTACTGAGAAAACTGCTTCAAGAAAGACAGAAAA